CCGCTCTTCTGCATCTCCAAGACGATGTCAGATCCACCGATGAGTTCACCGTTGATATAGAGCTGAGGGTAACTCGACCAGTTTGAGTATAGTTTAAGCCCTTGACGAACTTCATCGTCCGAAAGTATGTCGAAACTCCCAAACTCGTCAATGTTTTCTTGTTTGAGGATTTCAACGACCTTCCCGCTGAATCCGCAACTGGGTTGCTCTGGTTTTCCCTTCATGAACAGCATAACTGAGTGAGAATTGATCAGACCCTCGAGCCGAGATCGGAGGGCCTGGCTTAATCCTGTGCTGTTCGAGCTGATCCCTCCCTTCCCAGCTCCATCCCGGATTTCTTTTGAATCAATGGCGTTAACTGTAGTGATCCCGTGATCTCTGAAAACTTCTTCTAGTTCACCACTCTCGTGCATCGCTATCACTATGTCAGACCCACCTAGAAGCTCCCCTTTGCAGTACAGCTGAGGGTACGTCGGCCAGTTTGAGAATTTCTTCAAACCCTCACGCACTTCGTTGTCGGAGAGAATGTCGAAACTTCCGAACTGGACCTTCTCCTCTTTCAAAATGTTGACCACCTTCCTGCTAAACCCGCACCTCGGCTCTTCAGGGGAACCTTTCATGAACAACATGACGGGGTGAGAGTTGATGAGCTGTTCCAGGCATTCTTTGATTGCGTCAGTGAGCCCGCCAGGCTTGGCTCGGTCTTCTGCCTTCAACGAGCCAGGATCTTTCGCAATCTCTTTCACAGTTTCGAGAACTGTCGGCCCTGCAGCCAATCCAAGACTCGCAGGAGCTGCAGGCTCCGCAGAAGTTATAGAACCAGCAACTTTGGCAACTTTATTGGCCAAACTGGACGGATCCGCCCCCTCGAGCCTGTCCACGTTCTTGCCATCCTTGAACAAGAGACCCCGAAAGAACAGAATTCGTTGTCAGGAAACGTAATAGCTTTCATTACAGCAACCGAAAACATTCGAACATAAGGTTTTACAGAAAACGGTCTAAAGATAGAGAATGCAACCAGACGAATCGAAACCATAGACAACAATTTGAACTTTACAAACGTTGTGGAACGGAGATGAACTAGAAGAAGGTAGCAATCGTTTTCAAATCGTGATCACAAACCATTGAAATCCTCTATCAAACATAGAAGACGCCACCCGAGGAACCAATCTGAACAAACCCTAAATCCTGAACAAGAATAGCGAAACCATGTTACCTTAAAGAAGACGAAAAAGGGAACGGCGGACACGGAGTAAGCCTCCGATATGTCGGGATACTCCTCGGCCTCTACCTGAGAACAAAACCCATGAGCCGGATTTCGAAGCAAAACCAAAACCAGGAATCAATCAACAGCCCAATTTCAGAAGAAGAGAACGAACCCTGAGGAAATGGGCACGAGGGAAATCGGTGGCCAGATGGGAGAAGACTTGATCCATCTGCTTCGACGCGTCGCACCACGACGCCCAGAAGTGGAGGATAACCGGTGCGCCGCTTTGGCGCACGTTATCGAGCTCCGCCTTCGAAGCAACATCCTTCACAGAGCCACCCATATCAGAGAGAGAGAGAGAGAGAGAGAGAGAGAGAGAGAGAGAGAGAGAGAGGCTTCCCTTTGTTATATAACAATGACAATGAGCGTATTGAGCATGTAGAAGAAATGCTAGGGCTTTTTTATAGTTTCCACAAAAAGGCTAGGGCTTTCTGTATGGAATCTGATTCTGATTAGATGATGAAGGTATACGCAACTCCCAATCGCATTACACCATATGTTTTATAACTTTATGATTATATAGTATTTTAATTACAGATAGGAAAATACGGTTCATCATACATCACCACCATCATCATCATCATGATTCTGGAATTAGGTTCTGATGCAATGCCAAGAGATGGGGAATATTACTCAAATAACCCAATTGGGTCGCAGCAATTTCAGTGTACACCACCGAAAAAAAAAATTCAATTTTAACCCACTTTTCGGTTGGAAAAGTCCGAAATACCATTTTCGTTTTATTTTTTGTAACCTTATTACGACTAATATATAACTGATATACCACTAAAATAAGATAGATGATTTTTTTGCCACATTTTTTAGAATCAATTGTAACTATATTTAGAATTAATTACGAAGTCGTAATAACGAAGTTATTTTCGAACGGATAAAAATCGCGTATTCATTAAAGGTAATTTCGTCTTTTCATGTAAAAAAAGTGTTATGTTTTTCCTGGTGTACACGAGAACGAGAAGAAGAAGAAAGTGTCAACGATGAGTGGCCATGAATGTTATTTACAGTTATTGACCTAATTAGCAGAGACAGTTTTCGCTCTCAATTGGCGAATATAAGAGAGCCACAACCATCAGAGGAGTGTTTGCCTTCTTCTCCTCCATCATAGACGAGGTTTCCTCTCACAAACGTCGACACCACTTTCCCTGATAGCCTTCTTCCCATATACGCTGATATACTCTGCTCATTACCAAAATAACACAAACAAGGCATAAGTTCTCCAACAAGACAGGAACTGTCCTGTCCCAAACGGATGAGATACTGGTTTTGTACTTAACTGGATGCTTTAAGTACACGGGATGATCATCGTCGATATCAAACTCGACTTCGGGTTCCCACACAACTATATCCGCATGTTTCCCAACCGAAATCTCTCCCTGCATCAAGATTTTCCCAAAATGTTGGCTTCGATTGCTTACAAACGGGTAAAGAGGTCGAAAAACTACGGTATTACTATTAGTGAATCACCTTGTGACGTAATCCAGCGAGTTGCGAAGGTCGCTCGCTCCACCACGAGGCCATCTGCTCGAAAGTCACTCCATGCATCCTTCCGTATGACCACGTCACGGGAAGAACAAACTGCAGTTGACAGTAACAGCGGTTTGGACAAATATCTATGTTTCTCGGGTTTATTATGCTCTACCATATGTTTCATTGTTCGCTGACTAACCCGACGAATCCATATACTAAAGTTTGTGCCTTTTCGCCTCGATACGTGAATGAAAACATAGACCTGTAACTGGTAAGTATACAGGCAGAGTTGTGCAGACCTGTAACGATGAAATGCCGCCCCATGCTTTTAAGAAGTTGCCATCAGCGAGGAGCTTGAGTTCAGGGACGGTAGGTGAGTGGTCAGAGCTCAACATATCGATGTCTCCGTCCTGAAAATAAACCCGATTTCGAAGGAGAGTGAATGGTATAAACACGAGGGGAATGCAGTGAGGTAAAACGGAGAAGGAAGGATCGAAAAACGATACCAGAAGAGCTTTCCATAGCTTGTCTCGGTTGGCTGAATCACGTATCGGTGGAGCACATTTGAAACGAGTATCGCCCTCCGGAATCTCTTCGGACGCAAAGGCTAAGTAATGCGGACACGTCTCGATGCTTACACTGTCCCCTCTGTCCTTTGCTTCCTTCAATCAGATCAGAATTCAGACCAAAAGTAGCTGTTCGAGAGAGAGATGTTTTTCGTGGCAGAAAACTGAATAGAGTTCATCTTTATCGATCAGAATACCTTTAGCAAAGCCAAGGAAGATTCAGCGTCGGATAAATGTACGATATGAACATGAGCACCTTCAGCAGGACCACCGATCCTCGTATCTTCTGTAACCGATAGAAGCTCTCTGATTGCTGCTTCTTCCCTGCTTATTTTGAAAGAAACAATGTTTTCAGGTACAGATCCCTTCTCGGGGAATCGAAATGGAGTATATGGCAGTTCAAGAAACGGTTCTCGGGCTGGTTTAGACAGAAAGATAGAAAGAAAATCTCACCATGAAGCCGGCCTCGTTTTCAGATAAGTCAGATAAGAACGAGGGTCGATGTCTGAACCATCTTCGATCTCAGATTCTTGTTCGATCTCAGCGTGTACAAGAAGCGGGCGTCGGTATTTCGCCAAAACAGAAACGCCTTTCTGCAAAAGCAAACATAAAAGGAGCAAGAATCAATCTCTGACAGTGTATCCATTCCTTGATCAGAAAAAGAAAGATGACAAGAACCCAAGAAACTGACCTTTATATGACTGATGTTCGTCATCGGGAAATCGTTGATTCCCGAAGGACACATAAAGGACTGCAGACAAACGATGATAAGAGAGAAATCAAGTAAGAACCGAAAATTCTTGAAACAGAACAAAAAATAAAAACATAAACGTCTTGACAGAAATCTCCAGAAGAAGAACGAAAAATACTCAGATGCTGTTCTTACCTTCAGTCCAAGAACACCAGCATCCAAGAGAGATTCAAGGGCAGTTGAATTGAGTGCATTATCAGGGACCAAACCTCCCCAGAAACCTGAGGGGAAAAAAAGATTTTTTTTTTCTTTCAGGAACTTGTTCTTGTCTCTTTAATGATAAGGTTTTAGTTGCAGAAAGCGTGTAATACCAACGTCAACATGTATTCTCTTTCTTGCAGCTTCAACCTGTTCCATACATTTGATAGATTTCAGAAACACAAGAAAGAAAAAAACCCCACATGGTTAAAACCTCGAAGAACACGAGATTAAGACCTTTAGTTTCAGAGTTTCTGGAGATACGGTTGATGGGAAGCTGTTTAAGGGCATGTCGATCAAAGTAGTGATTCCACCTGTGGAAGAAACAATCTCAAGAAGAAGAAGAAGAAGAGAAGAAGATTCACTGTGATGAATGGATGGGTTACCTGCAGCAGCGGCTTTTGTTCCTGTCGGAAATCCTTCCCATTCTGTTTTTCCCGGATCATCGAGATGAGCATGCCTTTACAAAAATCCAAAACAAAAAAAAAAAGATTTTTTTTTGGATCTTCTTGGGAAGAATATGATCTTACAACATAGCAGAGGAGGACATGCAATGTAAGAGAAACCGTGTTTCAGCTACTAACACATCAACGAGACCAGGCATGATAACAGCTTCTCCATAGTCGATCACTTCCACCAAACTCTTCCTCTGGTTCCAATTCTCTTCCTTCACCACCGAGGCGATAATCCCTCCTTTCACCTCCACTGCGTTCTTTCCATTCTCAGAATCAGCAAAAACACAGAAAACACAGATAGAGATAAAAGAATGTCGACGCCAAGAACTCGTTCTGTAATGAAATCAGAAGCGTTACTGTCTTGGAAACACGATCTTTTCGTCTAAAATCGTCACTACAGACTGATACCCATTATCGATTCTCTCAAGATTTTGTCTGAGTTTTCACAAATTTGGAAGAAATCAACACCATGAACGATACGGAAACTGTTTTCAGGCCGACAAGAACACGTACCAGCGCCGGAGATGAGCCCTTCTGGTGTGACGATGCGTTTGCTAGAGATCCAGTAATGGCCGTGAGGAAGAAGACCACACTTCCTGTCCAACGTTATCTGTTAATGTCAGGAATCAGACATCAGATAAAACAGATCAGGAGGAGAGAATAGGACAGAGACCGCCATTTTTGGCGGCGGGTCACGTGAAAGGAAAACAAAAAAAAACAGAACCCAATGAAACAAATGGGAAAAAAAACCGACCTGGTAAGAACGCGGAGAGAACAAGACAGCGAGAAAACAGGCAATGAGAGCGAGAAGAGGAATGAATCTCCATTGAAGCGTCCTCTCCATCTCTCTCTCTCTCTCTCTCTCTCTCTGTGGATGAAGAGAAGATTCAGAGAAATAAGAATCTTACTGGTTCAATCTCGGAGATTCCCTCTCCGGTTTTGGAATAATCTGGTGCAACCCCACTTTGTTGAGTCTAAAGCATTTACAGCCGTTAGATTTAGGACCGTTTTATAGATCAACGGTTGTGATTAGATCACTATAACGACGTGTCAGGGGTAACTTGGAGATTCCATCTCGAGTGACTGGCAATGCACAGTCAGTGAGGATACCAAAATCAATTTTTCTTTCTTTTTTTTTTTGCCACAGAAATGAAAGGGACTTTACCAAAATTATTATGAATTTTATTTCCATTTTGTACAACAAGAAAATTACAACCATATGTTAATCTATTTTTTATTATTCTATTTATTAAATTCTCGATTTCTCCATTCCCTTTTTTGGATTCCTTGAATATTCCGAGCGATACAAAGATACGATTCTAGATTCCCAATTGTATTTTTTTTGTATTTCCAGCACATGGAACAGATCGTTTCAAATTTATCATTTTTTTAATAAATAAAATAATATTATTTTGCATCATAACAGATCATTATTTGTAATTTGATATATCCGAAATAATCTAATTTAAAACTAATTTTATATATATATATATATATATCAAAATCATATTAATCGTTAACAACTAATTTCATTCTTTTTTTCTTTCCTAACAATAAATCCTAACATTCTAAATCTTAATCTCTAAACCATCAACCTTAATTTTGAAATTCAAAACCATAAACTTTTACCTCTAATCTCTAAACCCTAAATTGATCCTAAATAATAAAACTCTAAAATCTAAATTCTAAATCATATGAATTAAGGTTTATAGTTTATGATTCAAGGTTTACAACTGACACGGATTTAGAATTTGGAATTTAGGATTTAGGATTTAATGTTTTGTGTTAGAGTTTGCGATTATGGTGATTAAGAATAGTATGACGACAAGAAAAAAATAAAATAAAAAATTATCGAGTGCTCTAAGATGATTAATAGGAAGTTTTAGGAAAATGTCACATTACCCAACATATAATTTTCTGAAACCCAAAAAAAAAAAATCTAAACCTAAATAATATATATAAAAATACCAAATATCAGCTAGTAATATAGACCATGTATTTTGTTGGGCATGTAGCTCTCTATATTTTGGACACTTCTCGTGGTTGGGCGAGTCCGTGTCTGGTTTTAATGGGAATCGCATATCAAATTATCAATGACAACAAAAAAAATTGAAAATAAAAAGTAATATGATATGCATGTTGTATCTAGCTATGATCATAATATCCGGAAAAAAATGAATCAATCTCGATCTGTTATATTTATTGGATACGGATCGGATACAAATATTAAAATCGAATTATTCGATATATTCGATCTAATCTATATTTTTAATAATATTATTAAATATAAAAATAATTTGGTATAAAAATTTAGGGTGTTTGATATTTGTAAGTTTTTAATGGAGATTCAAGATATGTTTTCTATATATATAAGTTTTAAATATTTAATCTTTTGAATTGGAGTTTTAGGATTCTTAATCTTTTGAAATTTAAAGTTTAATTTTTTTTTATGTGATAGATTATGATTGTGTTTGTATTTGATTTGATTTACGATATAAATATTATGAAGTTCGGATTTTGAATATTGTTTGTATTTGATGTATCATATATTTTATTTGCCAAAATATAAACGAAATGTACCAAAGAAATTTGTATATATAGATTGTTGAAATATAAACGATCGAATCTCATAATAGAATAAGAAAATATTTTTGTATTTCAATTAGATTAAGGGTGTAGGTTTGTTCTCATGTGGTTTGAATGCAAAGTCGGAAACAAAACGCCCAAATACGTGAATCGATGGTCGGAATTTTTTATTTGTATAGATTTATAATCGGGTTTAGAGAAAAACTCCGCGATACTTAGTCGTGATTTCATAATAAAATAAATAAATAAATAATCGTTTGATTTTTTTATTATTAAATATAGAACACCATAATATTTATAAATAAAAAATAGAATCATAAAATATATTTTTAACTAATATAAATAATTAAAATATTAAAATCAAATCTAAAATATTATAATAATAGTTTAAAATATCTTTTAATATTTTGGAGAATATTCTCCATGTATCGGTTGAATTTGTTGTTTTTTACTGTGCGGTGTAATTTCAAAGAGAGCCGAAACCGAAACCATGCTTTTTCCTTTATGGATTTGGGCCGAAAAAGAGTTCTTTTTTTAAAAAAAATTTAAATAAATAAAAAAACAGACGGTGCATTTGATTTCGACCGATATCTTTTAATATCTTCGGACATTATATTATATTCATATTATAGCATTGAAATTTCAGATTCAGATACGATTGTTTTTGTTGACTTTTTGTCTCGTACAAAATTTTTTTAATATCTCAAATTGTGTTGGAAAACTGATCAGATTTTAGACTCTTTGGTGAATTCTTCGTTCTAAATCCGACGATCATATCAATTTTAGATATTTAAAATATTTTATAAAACAAACAAACTACGATAACTGTATATTTTATAAAACATTTATTTTATATTGGCTCGTTAAAATTAGAATAATTTCATCATTTTGTTAGATATGCATATAACTATCTAAATTTTAAAACGAAAAAAGTAATAATTATGTTTTAGTTCAGAGAAATTATGTAAATAATATTATCTGAATTATGCCCATACAGTACAAAGTCGTACAGCTCAGAAGCCGAAAATTCTAAACCTTTGACTGTAATAATAATTAAAAAATAAAAAATAAAAATCCAAAGACTATCCAAATTTTCATTTGACTTTCCCTTTCCAATGACTAATCTGCTGATTCAATCCTTGAATTCCACCATTATCACGTTGTAAAACCTTTCGTTTCATCTTCGTCTCCTTCTTCCTCTCGCCACTGTTCCTCTCCCATGGGGGTTCTCTCCAGAGCTCTCCTCTTCCTTTTCCTTCTCCCTCTCCTCTCTCTCAAACCCATCTTCTCCGTCGATTTCATCTTCAACGGCTTCGATGGTTCTTCCTCTCCCTCTCGTCTCTCTCTCTTTGGCAACGCCACGATCGAGTCTCGGGTCTTAACATTGACCAACCAGACATCCTTCTCCATCGGTCGGGCTCTGTACAGAGACAGGATCCGGACCAAAGACCCTGAAACCTCCTCTGTTCTCTCCTTCTCCACTTCTTTCATCTTCTCCATGGCTCCTTACAAGAACACTCTTCCTGGGCACGGAATCGTCTTCCTCTTCGTGCCCTTCGCGGGAATCAACGGCTCGAGCTCCGCTCAGCATCTGGGTCTCTTCAATTTCTCCAACAACGGCGATCCGAACAACCACGTCTTTGGAGTTGAATTCGACGTGTTCGCCAATCAGGAGTTCAGCGACATCGACGATAACCATGTCGGTGTCGATGTGAATTCCCTTACATCGGTCGATTCCTACACAGCTGGGTACTGGTCCGATGTCGAGAGGCAAGGGTTCAAGAGAGTGAAGCTCAACGATGGAAGAAATTACCAGGTCTGGATCGATTACAGAGATTCACTGGTCAATGTAACGATGGCGATTGCAGGTACAAAACGCCCCAAAAGGCATTTGCTCAGTGTTCCTCTTGACCTTTCTGGCGTTTTCGAGGAAGAAATGTTCGTTGGATTCACTGCATCTACAGGTAGGTTGGTCGAATCCCATAAGATTCTAGCTTGGAGCTTCAGTAACTCGAATTTCTCGTTGAGCGAGAGCTTGATCACATCTGGTTTGCCCTCGTTTGTTCTACCGAAAGAATCCGTTGTCCGATCGAAATGGTTCGTTTCGGTCCTCGTCTTGGTCGTTTTCATCGCCGTTTCCTCGATCGCTCTGTTGTCTGTTCTTGTGGTGAGAAGGAGAAGCGAAATGGCGAGGAGGAGAGCAGAGATGGAGGATTGGGAAATGGAGTATTGGCCTCACAGAATAGCCTACGAGGAGATCGAAGCAGGAACTGATGGATTCTCCGACAAGAACGTGATAGGGATCGGTGGGAATGGGAATGTATACAAAGGCGTGTTGCCGGGAGGTGTCGAGGTCGCGGTTAAACGAATCTCGCACGAAAACGGCGACGGAATGAGGGAGTTCTTGGCTGAAGTCTCGAGTCTCGGAAGGTTGAAGCATCGGAATCTAGTGACGTTACGAGGATGGTGCAAGAAAGAGAGAGGTGGCAGCTTCATGATGCTGGTATACGATTACATGGCGAACGGGAGTTTGGATCGACGGATATTCGACCCGAGAAACGTGGTCCTTAGCTGCGAAGAACGGATACGGATCCTGAAAGGAGTGGCGGCCGGAGTTTCGTACTTGCACGAGGGATGGGAAGCTAAGGTCTTGCACCGGGATATCAAGGCGAGTAATGTGTTACTTGACCAAGACATGACCCCGAGGCTCAGTGATTTTGGGCTAGCCAGGGTCCATGTACACGGGCAGGTGGCTAGGACCACTCGTGTGGTGGGGACCGCCGGTTACTTGGCCCCGGAGGTGGTCAGGACAGGACGGGCATCGACCCAAACAGACGTGTTCGGGTTCGGGGTTCTAGTTCTTGAAGTGATGTCCGGAAGGCGGCCGGTGGAAGAAGGGAAGTCTCCATTGGTGGATTGGGTGTGGGAATTGATGGAAAGAGGGGAGATTTCGAGAGCCCTCGACCCGAGGATGATGATGTCGGGTGAGGTCGGGGTTGAGGCCGAGAGGGTATTGCGAGTAGGGCTGATATGTACGCATCCCGACCCGAGCAAGAGACCGAGGATGAGGGAAGTGGTTCACGTGATGGAAGGGGATAAGGCCGAGATTTTCGAGGCCGAGAGCGAGGGGATCATCGAGGCGTGGTTACTGAACAAGATCGGGTCGAGAAACTCGCAGGAGTTTTGGTACGGATCGAGTTTGCATCCGACGATAGAACAGATCAGACAGTCTCATTCCTCGTCCATGTCTCTGTCTTCTTGGAACAGCGCCATTGTTGAGGGCAGGTGATTCAAAAACAGCAAGGCTTCAAAACCTTATCATTGGTTTTTTTTTTTTGGCTCTTTGCTTTCCGTTGAAGCTTTTTTTTTTTGTACATATGGTTTCATTGGTTCATCTGGTTCTGTTTTTTTTTTCGCAAAAGAAACATGGCTTGTTTCACCCACGTTTTTTTTCCATTTTTTTTTGGGTAAAAGATAAGGTTCCTCTCATCTTTTGTTTCTTATTTCTTCATCGACCATAATTAGGGATAGCGATTTGGTTAATGATTGAACCGAGCAACATATAATCCTAATTGAAGTGATTTTGATATAAGAATCAAATGGTTACGAAAAATAAAACTAAAAAAATCATTAAAAAAAGTAAATATCGAAATAAAACCAAACCAAATTGATATAGGATTCGTCTGGTTGTATAACAGCGATTACGGTTGCGGATAATAGCGTTTTTAGAGCGTTTGATTGCAATTATAAACGATTAGTATTGACTGGTTGATAAGTTGCAGTTGGCAGGATACGTTTAGAAGTGAATGGTTCGTTGCGGTTGTAGTTACGTTTTGATATAAATTATTAAAAAAATATTATTTTAAAATAATTTTTTTATAATATTTTAATTAATTTTTTTGGTATCATTTGACAAAAATTATTAACTAAATTTATAATAAATAAATAATAAATTTAAAATATAAATACTATCAATTTACTTTATTTTCAAATAAAAATATTTTTATAAAAAAATTATTAATAATAATAGTTATTAAACTTAAAAATTATACTATTGTATTTTTTATTAAAATATAATATTAGAAAATAATATCAAATCATAACACTAAAAAAAATCATTACCAATATATATATATATATATTAGTGTTTTATATAGTTTTTAATAAAAATATTTTAGTTTTTTAATACAAGTTGGAAAGGACAGAAGCATATAATAGTTATTAAACTTAAAAATTATACTATTGTATTTTTTATTAAAATATAATATTAGAAAATAATATCAAATCATAACACTAAACAAAATCATCACTAATATATATATATATATATATATATTGGTGTTTTATATAGTTTTTAATAAATATATTTTGGTTTTTTTGTCAAAACGCCAGAAACCGTTAACAAAACGCAAGTTGGAAGTTGCGATTAGAAAACACAAGTTTGGTTGCGGTTGCGGATGGTTACGGTTCAACCAATCAGTTTTTCAATTGTCTGTAACCGTCGAAAATCGTAACCGTTCCGTGTACGGGTAGCAATAGTCGCCCCCATAAAAATGGAATGTGTAAAAGAGTAATGAGTTGTGTTTAACCCAATTAATCGAACCAAACCCAACAAATAAAATATATTATTATTTTTACTTTCAACTAATCCAACACAAAACCCATTAAAAATTGGATATAAAAAATGAGTTAAAGTTTCAATCCAGTTAACTAAAAAAATATACTCACTCCTTTACACAAACCATTGTTTCAAAACAAATGAAGACATGAATGTGTTATGGCAATGGAAACCGGTCTGAAAGTTAAAAAGCCATTAGAACTGCGTTTGATGTAACTCTACACTGCCCGTGTTCGGAACCTTCTCGTAAACGCAGTTTTCTCGAAAACGCCTCGGAAGAAAACAGCGGCCGCCGAAACGCTGCTGCAGGAAAATCAGAACGCCGAACAGAAACCCGAAACACTGAATCACGACGTTCCAAGCCGTGGAATAGTAATCCACCTTGTGGTTCGCGTAGATGAATGACCAGTCCAGGGATCTTCCGTAGCTGCGGCTTCGGTACAGATCGTACGAATGGGGAAGCAACCTTACCAAGCTCGTCCCGACGTAAAACGGAACGGCGAGAGATTTCGCGTCCGAGTTGCGGAAAACGTTGAAGAGAATCTGCGGTAGGAGGAATCCGTCGAGGATCAAACCCCCGAAAGATCTCAGATCTTTCCACAAAGATGGCCGCTGGAACGAACGTTTCAGGTTATACGGACGGTACAACAGATGCCGAGAATATGGTTTACGGAACAATATCGTCGCTTCAGGACGTCTATTCCGGTTTACTAACCAAGCGATCAGTCCGCCCGTAACGTAGATCGGTAAACATATGAAGAAAACCTTTTTCTCCGCGTCCCATTCGCCGCGGCTTTCGATCTTTCGAGCAGTCCAAGATAAGAAGAGGACCCGTAATTCGAGAAGGAAAGCGACCATCGTTACCATCCGGACCACGATTTCTTTGGCCTCGAGCCATCCATCGTTCTCGAAGAACGTATTCTGCGGATTTCGGTTGCTCTTGAACATTGCTTCAAAGTTCAACAGCAGAGGAATCATATGCCCTAAGGTGAGGATCATCGCCATGGCTATGGAGATGAAGGATTGCACTTCTGGATGTTTCTTCATATGGTATAACTGTAATCCGACGAAGATACACGAAAGAGTATTCGAAATCAGAACCATAATGATCTCCAGATCCATTCTCCAGACCGATTCTTCCGCCGTCCTCGCATATATTGACCTCGAAAAGAGCTCAATCCGTCCGAAATACAGCGGATCGGCCTTTTCCCGTAAGCTCTCTATAGTTCCGTTCAAACGGCGATCACCTTTCGATTCGATCAGGGAGAATTTGATGTTGATCACGATACTGCAGTCCGTCGAGTCGTTCCCCCGAGCCTCTCTGTTCTCGAGGCTCAACGATTGACACCCTACCATGCACAGCTCGCCGGTTTCCCTATCGTATCTCCCTTCTGCATAAATCTCTCGGCCTCGGGTTACAAAAATATCGCCTGCGGGATTCCAAACGGGAGGAAACTGAAATCTGTAACTGACGCTGGTAAAGCTATTGACGACATTGTCATGTTTCGTATCGATTCCAGTTCTCCCACCTCGTCTCCCGTCATGCATCCAGAAACTCCGGAAGAGGTGATCGTCAACGAACAGAGGGGTTGCGCTTCCGGACGATATCCGAGTGTCTCCTTCCGATTTCATCGACATGTGAAAGATCATGTCAACGGATTCGGGATCAGGGTAATGATGCTTTCCTTTGACTTTCCGGCTAACCTTCCGTTTGCTGCCACAAAGTTTCTCGACTCTCTCGATCTCAGTATACTTGAATCTCAGCTCAGGGAATCGACGCAATGGCTCCCTGATGCTCGAGAGCTCGATTCTACTGAACGGTTTGACGCTCCAGAGCTGCCCGATTACGGGAGCCATACTTCGAATGGACAAGACAGCTGGAAAACTCAAACTCAACCTCGAGGAACAATCATCAACGGCTGCATGTCCGGCCGAGAAATTTGAGATCCTGCAGGCGACACCGCAGAATCTGTTCTTCTCCGGATCCCAAGCTCCCTCGGCGAGCAAAGTAGTGTCCGGATCGAAGGTAAAGGTCGTCGTGTCCCAACCACTCGAGTTGCGAAAGGACAGAAGCATATGCATCTTGTCCCCATCGCACAACTTCATGTAGATTGTCATGGAATCCGGCAGATACTCTACACCATTTCCGAAAGCACTGCAACTAGGGTTTGTGTCGTTGCAACAAGTTTCGTATCTCAGACCGAAGGTGTGAGGCACGGCGGAGGAGAAGACAGAACACAAGCTTCGTCCAACTCTCTGCAACGACAAACTCTCTTGCCTGTTTGCTCCACATTCAGATCTCCCTTGTCCTAACAAGGTGTATTCATAGTTCTGAAGATTGTTTCTTACACCCAGAATCGAAATGGGTTTGAAGTAATTCTGAGTGTTCTTTCCCTTGACGATCTGTAACACTCCATTGATCAAACTGCCATGGATATTCGAATCCTTGGAGTAGTTGAGCTTGAGAACAACGTCGTAGGATCGTCGATCGCCTTGAGCGAAGCCGTAACCGCCTGATCCGACCATACAGACATGTCCTGTAGATTCCGACCAAAGCCCAGAGAACTCGAACCTGGGGCCTTCGCGATAACCCACCTGTTTCCGGTCGGTGAAGGACTGAGTAGTAGAAGCGACAAGAAGTAAATCCAATCTGGCTTCGATCTTAAACACTTTATCACCATCGCCCAAGGTTCTGCGAAGAGAGAAGGGGACGAACCTGGCCGATCTGGAGAAACCGGAGAGGGTCAGGTTCTGATCGGAGAAGAGAGATTCGCCGCCGGAGAAGAAACCGATGTTGAAACGGAGGGAGGAGTCTCGAAATAGAGCGGAAGGGGAAGGATCGACCGGAGATTCGGGGACGAGGTCGTTGCAGTAATCGGAGTAAGAGATTCGCGGGGATGCGACAGAATGAGGGATGAATCCGGCAGCGAGTGAAGTTACAGATGTCGGGAAGAGAAACACGACAACGAAGAAGAAGATGAAGGGACATGGCTGTAAATCACAACGACGGAGCTTGAGAGTCGCCATTGTGGCGGAGAAGACAGCAGGACAGAAGCAGCCTCGACTCGGTTTCGAGTTTTTGGCCGATCAATTCCTTTTTAATGTAAAAGTCAAACTGATTTCGTCGTCTCCCATCAAAACTTCCACTCAAAAGACTCTATATTAAGGATTCTCTGTCTGCCATCAAGACAGAAATCACCATTTACATGCAACAAAAAAAAAAAACAAAAGCTTCAATGCGTGATATCTCTTCTTCACCGATAGCCATTAGGGTCTAAACACAAAAATGCAGACAAGATTTATGTTCTATATGTTCTACTCATCCCTGTTCCTGTCCCGGGCAAAGGGTGAAAGCGAAACTCAGAAACACAAAAAAAAAAGGAAAAAAAGAAACCCCTCAACGTGAAAAAGGCTGTGTTAACAGATCTGGTTAGCCAACTGTACTGCTTTGCTTAGTTACAGACAGGGAGACGCCGATGCTGAGTTATGTCCGAGTTGAAAGATACGAGCTTTGTTGTCCGTACGGTCCTCACATCGATTTTCTGCTGTCCAAAGTGACTTTCGCCTCAACTTGTACGAGATTTCCAGCTTTACGCCCGACGAGTCTTTTTCGAGCAGCAAGAGTATTCCTGGGCCAAATTCCCCTCGGAATTCTTGATGTTAAATGAGTCTAAAAGCTTCTCATGGGATTATTTTTCATCAAGTATATCTTCCCGAAGATGGCATCTGCTGCAGAGAACGTTGAAACTCTGGCTTCAGACGCTTGCTCGACATCCCATGCGACAATCTTTGTTTTTTTTTTCAACATCAAAACAAGAAAGCCAATCCGAATACATAGAAAGGATTAGCATCAAACGGGATGAATAGACAAAAAAAAAAAAAGATAACACGCAAACCTCGGAGATCCTTGCCGCTTGTGCAAAGACTGTCCAGGCATCGATCTCAAACTAGAAAGCGCTCTTTCCGCCGCCTGAAACAGCAATCACATAAACTGTTCTAAAAGGCAGAGCACAAAAAGCCAATGGAAGACGAAACAAAAGAGGCACGAGGAAAAATCACAAGTGATACCTGCATTCTAGCCTCATCCCAAGTTGAACCAGCCCCTTCTCCTAAAACTCGACCGTCTATTTTGACCTGAAACATAGTTTATAGTATGAGGCAAGAGTGTAAAAGGATTATACGAGAAACGGATATCAAAAACAGACGTGCGAGTAAAATCGGTTTATCCCCACTAAAACGATCTCCATTGGTACGACAAAGGGTGCTGCCACTGCAAATGTATCGTTTTTCCATTATATACCACCAAGACCGAGTTTATGTATTTGATCTCTCTATTATCTTTTCATTGACAGCAAAATCAAACACATCCCCGAGGAAAGCCCCAAAGACTCGAGCTTAGGAAGGTGCGTATATATTAAAAATGGGATACTAAGGTGATTCCGATAAGTAGGATATGGCGGTTGGTATGGTTACACATGTCTGACCCGAAAGAAATTGTCAAATTATAATTTCTTTTCCTATTTAAATGCCTACATATATATTGCGTCGTCAAAGCCACGAGACCTGTGACTGTCATTTACCACTATTTTCATTGATATTTTTGCTTAATAAACATAAAAATAACAAAATCAGAATCATCCTTGGATGCATACCTGCGCATATAATGCATCTTTTTGGACAATGTCCAATGGTGATGATGATGGAGGCTGAGCGTGAAAAGCCATTTCAAATCCCTCCATTGCACACTGGAGTTAGACAAGGCAGGGTATCAAAATATAATAAAATCAACCATCACAAATGTTCATGTGGGTATGGATGGGGAAGCAAGAATAAGGAGAAAAGTAGTAATCCAGTGACGTACCAATTCCCTGAGGACGGAAATGGAGCCCATTGGCCTAACAGAGCCTTCCAATCTCGGATCTGACATTGCCGAGAATGGTGCATATTCATCTCTGGTAAATGGTTGATTCTCTACCATATTTCCATTTCCCAAAAAGGTACTACTGCCATTGACAACGGTGCTTGCACCCCTATTGCCTGGTCGTGGGTCGGGATTTCTATGGGACATATATACATCTGTAGAAAATTCCTCAAAAAGTCAAAACAGCTTAAGAAACAAAGATCCAAAGCAAAAAAGTTATATCAACAGACCTATGCTAAATCTAATCCGACTGCCACAAATACATTGTAGATCCCAAGCTACAAACCAGATTATAAAGGGGAAGGGCCCGGAGGTTTGTAATTGTTGCTGCGGTGCCATAACATAAGACTAAACTTCCGACACTGATTATCCACAGCATCCCACTCTCGATGGTCTACACTAGCCTTTCCCAGTGACTCCTTCATAACATGGATTTTTTTTAACCCAAGGCCATCCTAGAGCTAATCCAATTGTCACAAATTTATAGGTAAGACTGCCCCTTATAAGCTTTAACTTGGTTTATATAAATTATCAGCCAAATTGGTACTTGGACATTGGAGTCTTCAATGTAATATTACAGTATACAGGTTGGATTACAAGATTGAGATTCACACCATAGAAAAAGCCAAGAGAGATGAGAAGGCTGTTAGCAACTTTATAACTAAAAAAAGGCAGTGGGGTATTCATAGTGCAAACACACACTGAACTTGTATTTGCAAAAAGGAAGATTAAATCACAAGGGAAAAAACATGAGCTGGAATGTCTTACCAGCTAAGTTCTGGATGGAAACCTCAGCAGCCTTATGCAAGGCTTCTCTTCTTGTCCTGCCAATCCCTTCTCCAACTCTTTCC